AGAGAGTTTTGATCTGCATGCACAAACAGTATCACTTGAGTGGATGAGCTGTCAGTTTCTGGATCATTACCAGCCCCTAGATGTGGCCATACAGCTACTATGGTTGAGAAACGGTTGCTTGTTTATGGTGGTAGAGGTAAAGTAGCATATCTTGGTCTTATGATATTTGTTTCCGCTTCATGTACACAGTCTTTCATCTGTGATTCCAGGGCCCAAATGTTTTTCTCAAAGATTGCTACTGATGCATATGCGTTATCATAAACCTTATAGTATAATGCAAGATAGTCATCCTTTTTACCCTAATTCTTCGTTTTGAATAAGTTTCACTTCCATTGTTGTTGTGTTTCCTTTCAGAAAAATGACAGATGATTGGTATTGAATACATATGCTTATAATTAAATCAGCAGCAGTTTCTTTAGAGTTCTAGTATTTTTCTGTTCTGGCTGATAATGGTTAGGTTATTTTTGCTGTCAGAGCATATAAAGAAACCCTTGCTTTAGCTAAGTTGATGTTTCTACAGGTGGTGGTGGGCCAATCATGGGTGATTTATGGGCCTTGAAAGGTCTTTTTGAAGAAGGTTTGTTGCTAAATTTTCTCACACACATGAATGTATATTGTGTACTATCTGCGAGTTGAATGTCATCACTTCTCTTTAAATAATGGTTAAATTTTCACTATATATGGCACCTGTTTTTCATTTCTATATAGGCCACATGTGAAGTTCTAGGTAGAAGTCCTTCGTTTGGCTATGAGAGAAAGATTTCCACTTGACTGCAATAATTTGGTAGAAAAGAGTTGCAGACTTTTTGTCAACGTGAAATTTTCATTTTGTATTCGATTTTTTCTATTTATTTTTAGTTGAGAAATATGGTACTAGGTTTCTTAAAATTGGTTGTCCCCACAAACAATTTTCCACTTTTATTTCTTGTTCTGTATGATGCACAAAAGGCAGAATATTCCTGAGACATCCGAACCATCCAAATCAAGGTAAGGAAACAGTTTTACGTCAAGTAGTTACACTAGATGATATCTTTGCATGAAATGAATCACTATCTTCTTGAACAATTGGCTTTTCAAAATCAGGTTGAATAGAATAAAATCTTATTTTTATGTTTAATATTTTATTTCAGCATTTCTATCTTTGCTGAATCTCTGTTGATATTCTGTTGCTTCTACTTCTCTGAGTTCATTTCATCAGCGATGGCTTTATTCTGTCTCAACTTAAAAAAAAGTACTATCATCTCATATTATTTAATTTGTTTTTAACTGACCTGGGTTCGTATTTTGCCAATTTTGTGGAAGGAAGAGAATGAAGTACCTGGATGGACCCAATTGAAGCTTCCAGGTCAAGCACCATCTCCTCGTTGTGGGCATACACTTACCTCTGGAGGGCACTATGTAAAGACCTTGATGAAGTCCCTGCTACTGTACACTTTTGTTTTAACATTTCATAGTCTTTTACAGGCAGAACACCTTTGATGCAGGAAAG